CACCAATTAAAAGTGGCATATTAAATTTCTGAAAACCTTTGTAATCTGCAGTATAAAATCACATTTTATGGTAGCAGATAATTTAGAATCCATAAGCTAATTAAATGAAGTGAATGACAACTGTATTCTCTAGATAAATGATATATCAGTCACAGATAATGTACAAATTTAAGGGACTGGAACCTTTGGAAAGAGAGGAGAAAACACAATGAAAAAATTTGAGTCATGAATGATAGGCCTCATACATAAATCCAGCTAATTATATTAACTGCATAATGGAATTAATTGCTGGAGTCTTTTTGCCTCCAAATCTCCATGGCGCTGTGGAATATCTGTCTGCTATTAAGAGAGGCAGCTACCGTCTCATAATAGTGCGGGGTGCTGTTGTCACCCCTGCATCTGGAAACAGGGTACAAGGTCCCTATTCCGGCCACATCTCTGGGCAGAGGGATCACAACTGCTAATGAAATAGAAGGAAAGTTCCAGAATTAAGATTCAAAACGTACATCTAGTGAAAGCGTCAATTTTTTGCCCTGGAAATCTTCACATCATAGAATGTTAAGGCTTAGCAGAAACTTCGAAATCACATAGCTTGGCGTTGAGACGGATTCTGAGGCTGTGTTTAGGCTCACCAAGAAGGACTGCAGTGATCAACGAGAGCTTGCGTGGGAATGAGGAGACATAAATACCAAACCTGACCCAGTGCAAATCACACCTGTTTAGGAAACGAGCAGGTCATTCAAAGCAGGTGGAGCGACCGCCCGGACTCAGAAGGCGGCTAGTGGTCAGGACTGGGAAAGGAATACAAGAACTTGAGCTTTCCTCACAGTGTCCCCCTCACAGTTCCCAGCAGGTCCTGAGGCAATTCTGGACATCCTAAAAGACAAAGAGAGCAGCTCGTTCCACTTTACATTTGCACAACACTAGCAGAGAAGGAGTATATCCCTACACTTGGACAATTCTATAAAGAAGTGAATTCTAAGATTCTACAGGCCAAACCAGCCCCTTTGGAGCCAGAATCGAAGTTCATCTGACTTTAATCAGAGTGATTTTAACAATGTTGATTGAACACCCAGACATACAGAGGGGAAATTCAACTGTACCAGGAGAGCTAAGCTATGGCTGGCTGGCTCATGTGCAATAGAAAAAGATCTCAAGGTCAGACAAAGAAGCTGCTAAAGCTATGAGAAGACCCATCACGCAGTAGATAAGCTGGAAGCACGGCTCCACTTGTTTTCTGAGTCCCTGGCTCCCCCGCGCAAGGGGAGAATGCTTGAGAGGAAGGATGGAGCCTTACTTTAGACACGGTATGGCACTGGCTGGGGCTTCTGCTTAGACCCGAGCAGTCGAATCTTAGCAGGCAGCTGCATGGCAAATGTGACGGTAGTAAGAATGCTCCTAATTTGACAGAAGCCCAATGCAGACTAACTTAAACTACAAAGGGTGATGTATGGTTCATGAAACTAGAATGTCAAGGTTAGATATAATTGCAGGCATGGTTGAATCAAGGAATTCAAAAGTTGGTCATTGGATCTTGGGTTTCTCCTCCATGCTTTGTTCTCTTTTCCCCTCGTTAGCTGTGTTTTCCGGCAGATCCCGCGCGGCAGTGCCTGGCAGCTGTGAGCTTACCTCCTCCCAACGGCAAGTCTATCAGAGAGAAAGACCCTTTTGCAATAGCTGTAGCAAAAGTCCAGGTCTGAGTCTCACGGGACTGGGATCGTATGCCCATCCTAGCAGCACTCACCCTGGCCAAGGGCAGGGAAATGCTCTGATTGGCCAGGCTGGGGTCCACACCAGTCGCTGTGTCCTCTTATTAAGAGTTACCAAGCCACCAGTAAGTCTTAAGCAAGGTGTATTGTCCAAGGTACAACTTTAGGAAGGAGGGAAAGTCAACCCCATTCACACTGTGTGGGCAGAGGTTGGGGAGATGGTTTCCCAGAGGAAACCTGACAGTCTGCCACCCAAAACCAGGTGTTACCTGTAGGGGTCTGGGAGGACTTGGAACTTTTCCTGAGAAGCCCCTTAGGGGTGTTAAAAGATGGACAACTGCGCCTGGGAGGAAAGCGCGGGCAGAGTAGGAGCCTGGGAACCCACGCCAAGGCAGCGGCCAGCGCGCGTGCCCCGTAGGGTGAAGAGAAAGCGGGCGCTGCCCAGGGGAAGTCTCCCGCCACGTGGGGGGAAGAGGGACAGCTGCAGGATCATGAGCCAGCACAGGGGGCAGGATGGTGGGCCCTAGATGTTGAGATGGCAGGTCCCAATCCCTGGACCCCGTGAATGTTATCTCACCTGACATTGACAACTTCCTTGCAGATTTGATGCTGCTAAGGATCTTGAGATAAGGAGATAATCCTTACTTAACAAGGTGGACCTTTAATGCTGTCACAAGCACCCCTGTACGAGAGGGCCAGAGGAGACTGACACAGACAAGGAACAGGAGGCCATGCGACTACGGAAGCAGAGTTTGGAGTGATGCAGCCAAAAGCCAAGAGAATACAGCTGCACCAACGGCCGGAAGAAGCCAGGGGCAGGTTCTCCCTTCTGCCCCCAGAATCAGTGCGGTCCTGCCAGCACCTTGCTGTGGGCCGGTGGTTCTGATTTCAGACCCTTGGCCTCCAGAACTGGGAGAGAACAGATTTCTTTCGTTTTAACCGCCATGTTTGTGCTGATGGGCTACAGCAGCCACGAGAGGCTAATACAGATAGTACGAGGGGCTGCGTACACAGCAGCGGGGGTTAGGAGAGGACCAAGGGGAGAACCAGAACTGCTCTGGAAGGGAGGGACCGTAACCTCGGCAAGGCCAGCGAGTGCAGCCCATGGTCACGCTGTCAGTAAAGAGAGCTTCACGCACAAAGGCTCACCCGGAGGGTTAAGTCATCTTTCTAGTCCCCGCGTTGGCCGGAGCCCAGGACTTCCTTAAAGACCGACGTATGTGTCACGGTGCCTGTTCACACACTTGGGATAATGAAGCCTCTTGTTCGCTGTGAAACGGTGCTTGGGCCTGGGAGACAAAACAATGCCCTCTGCCTTCCAGAAGCCACTGGGCTGGGGGGTGTCCCTGTAGTTGGGAGCATGGCTTGCCCTCTGGCCACATGCCTGGCTGGCCCCAGGCTGGGCAGGAAACAAGGCTCAGTTATCTCACCCTGTCCTGGGGCTGTCCCCAAAGGATGCCTCACTGGTACATAGTGCCCAGGGGGGCCTGCTCCTTATGGTTTCCTCCTGTCCCCAAGGGGAGACATATTTTTAATCCTTCTGATGGGTTTAATCCTCTTAATGGGTTACCTTTCTTTCATGATCCTGGGAGGAGAGAGGGATTTCACTACTGATAATGATCGTATTAATTAAAGTGGCTGACAGTTACCGGGCACATGCCACGGAGCTGCTCTACGTCGTTAATCCACACAGCAGTTTACCCCATTTGGCAGATGAGGAAACTGAGGCACGGAGTGGGTACGTGCCTGGCCTGAGGCCACACAGCTAGTGAGTGCTAGAGTCAGGCCTCACACTCAGGCACGCTGACGCCAGGCCCGCTCCCTGAGCCCCAGGCCACCGAGGGAGGCACGATGGCCTGGCGGCCAGGACCGGGCTGCTCCTTGTGCCCGCCCCTGTCCCCCCTGGGGGCCGCTCTCACAGGGACCCTCCAGAGATTGCTTTCTGTCGGCCTCTCATTCCTCATGCTGCTACTTTTTAGCCGTGTTACTGATGAGAAAACAGCTTAGTAAAATCAATGGTTTTAAATTATACCTTTATGTACCAAGGATACAAAACAAGCTACAAAACAGAAATACTTTCCCGTGACAAAAAATCAATCGTGCTCATGCTACTGTTCCTCGGGCTGGCCTCCCCCGCCCGCCCCCACCTCCCCCTCTTACTTAAGACTTTCTCTGCTCTTGCATCTGCCGGCTTTGTGTAGACCTTCTTCAGGTTTCTTGCTTGGGAGACTCGTTTTATCTAAAAGGTCAATTCTTTCAGCGGGGCACCAAGCAGAATTGAATATAATTATCCCAATCTCTACCGTGTAGAATTCATGCTTGAATTCATTCAAAAAATAGCATGCAGTATAATTAACTCAGAGTCCAACCAAATCTATTGAGAAAGCCTCAGGTATCATACAGTTCCACTTACAATAGAACATTTTCATTTAAGGACATTGTACGTATTAACCCAAGTCAGCATCCAATTACTCTGAATAAGTGAATTCTCTGTTCCAGGAATGTAATTTGAAAATGTTGTCATGCAATCTGAGGCAAAAGGTCCTTTTTCATTAATCTAACTCTCATTAAAGTGGAAGCCTGCAGGTTATTTCAAATCCATTAGTTTTAAATACAGGTGATTACAATTCTATTGCACATAAGACAACAGAAGTGTCTATCAAGAAATATTGGGACGTTTCGAGGGATGGGCCCAGTCGGTGGTTTTGCTGTCACACTGAGAATGAGAATTACCCGCTGATGGGCTGGGAGGCTCTTTTCTCAATCCCCAGGGCACACGCCGTCAGCTGGACAGACCAAGAGGCGTCCGTGCTAGAGAGAGCTCGGTTCTCCCAGGATTCTCTAGTGTGTGTATTTGCAATCTACTCAGCTTTGGCGGCTCAGTGAAATTAACACTTTCCAGCTTTATTCTGTTAGAGGCCAGTGATGTTTGGACACATGGCTTCATCTGCCGAGATTCCCCTCCCCTGGCCCCGTCTCCACCCCACTCATCCTTCAGGTCCTGACTCGGGACCTCTCTCCCAGGCAGCCTTCCCTGACTATCCCAGCTCGAAGCGATCAGCTTCTGCTTCTTTTGTTGTTGAGACAGAGTCTTGCTCTGTGACCCCGGCTAGAGTGCAGTGGCATCTTCATAGCTCACACAGCAACCTCAAACTCCTGGCTCAAGCGATCCTCCTGCCTCAGCCTCCCCAGTAGCTGGGACCACAAGTGCGCACCACCACACCCGGCTAATTTTTTCTATTTTTCGTATAGATGGGGTCTGCTCTTGCTCAGTCTCGTCTCGCTCTCCTGGGCTCAAGCGACTCTCAGGCCTGGGCCTCCCAGAGTGCTAGGATTACAGGCGTGAGCCACTGCGCCCGGCCCAGCTTCTGCCTTGAACCCGTTCAACCCTGTGTGTCTGGTTCCTTTGGTGTTTGGCATCTGCCCCTTCAGCTTTTTAGTCAAGTTTTGATATTTGGTTCATTTTAATGAGTGTTTTTTAGGCACCTAGGACACGCCAGGCAGTAGGCTAGATGCTAGAGATTCCGCGATGAACTTCACAGACCCTTGTTTCAAGGAGCTCACGTTTGAGGGGGTGGACGTGGGGAGGGCAGACAAGTAACCAGGCAGTTACAGCAAGTGTCCCATGAGTGACACTATGTCCCATGAGTGACACTGTGACAAGGGATGGTGGAAGTCCAAGGGAATACGCACCTGAACTTCATATCGCTTCTTTACCTACGACCCTCCCATTAGGTATGAACCAGAATCCAAACCCCCAACAAGGCCCCCAGGGTCCCACGTGGAGCTGGCCGTGCCACCCTGTCATCTCTGCACTGTCACAGTCTTCTCCTCCTTTAGCCCAGAAACTCTGAGTGTCTTAAACATTCTAAACTCTTTGCTGCCTCAGTGCCTTTGCACTTGCTGTGCTTCTCTTGTACACACTCTTCCAGTAACTTTTTCCTGTTTATCCCTTAGCTCTCAGCTCAGATGACTTGGCCTCACCGAAGTCTCTTTAACTGTGTTTTCTAAAGTAGCCTCCAAATCTGAGCTACTACCGGTGTATTTCTTTCAAAACTCTCAGACACCTGAAATGTTGAGTATTTGTTCAGTTTGGCTTTTATCTCTGTCCCTCTTTAGAGTATCGATTACAAGAATGCAAGGATGTGGTCATTTGTATTTATCGTAAAATCTATTGCACCTCGCTCAGAACCTGGCATGGGGGAGGCTCTCAGTAAATATCTGTTGAACAAAAAGAAAAAATGAATGAATGAAACTGAGGCTGGTTTAGGAATTATCAGGCAGAAGATACCGTAGGAGAGAAGAAAAGAATATTGTCTTATCTTCAAATTGGATCATCACATCAGGTAAACTTCTTTATTTGTGACTCCCCAGAACCGTTCTTTCTGTATAAATGACAATTAATATATTCCTGTTGTCATGTTTGCCTCGTTCTTCGGAGACAGGAAAATCCAAGGCAAGAGCAGAAGTGCTGGTGTTTGGCTGAGACCGAATCTCGCAGAAGGGGGCCTGGGCTTGCCTCCCTCCGGGCTGACCCGCCCTCACGACTGAGCTCAGGATGGAATCCCCACTCCCTGCCCCCCTGCTCTCATCACCGTGGCAGGCACCGGGGCCTGCAGGCCAGCGAGACCTTTCTAAAATCGTGTTACACTCACTAAATTTCCATCCACAAAGTGCCGCAGGGTGCACGGCCCAGAGCTGGGTGTCTGGGGAACAGAAAGTTTCAATCACTATCTCGACTGCAGAGAATTACACTCGCTTTGAGGGAATAAAACTTTCACAAAGCAATGATCCCTTTTCCCGTTTTCAAGTTAATTAATATCCACGAACTCTTTTCATACCCCAGAGAAACCTTCCGAAGTCCAAACAGATTCACATCGGAACAGAATGGACTCCAGATAAGGGAATGACTTGCGGAAAGTCACTTACCTTGGAAGAGACAAAACTCAAACTTGAACCCAGGTCTTCGATGACTGCAAGATAATGTCACCAAGTTTGGTCCAGTTAGTGAAAGCATGGTGTAGATGAGAGGCAATCAGCCATTTGGGAAATTCTTCCGGAATCCCCTGGAACAAGCAAGGCCGGGTAGGGATGGCTATGCTCGGAAGGCATTGTGTAAGTGGCCCAAGGATACCTTTGACCCTTACCCTTTGAGGAAGTCGTTTGGTAACAGCAATTTTCCATCATTTCAAAATACCCATTCCACCCAGTCCCCACTTTTGAGGGAACACTAGGAACCACAACCTTTCTGAGGCTTTCCCTGAATGTTCTAGTTCCTATTCCTCTATCCAGGCACCAAACAATCCAGCAGCTACTCAGATAGCGTCTTGTGCCTTCTCTAGTTGTCTCACAGGTTGTCTCATCTCCCCAGCAACGATGAAAGCAGCCTGGGTAGGAACAGTGGCTAATAATAGTAATTACAGGACAATGAGGCCTTTTATGTGTCCACACTTTCAAGTTTACCAACCACATTAAAATCCTCACCAAATCTTCACCCTAGGAAGGACCAGTGCGATGATAATCCCCTGTGACAGATGAGGAAACTGAGGCAGAAGAAGGTTAAATGACTTGCCTGAGACGGCACAAACCACCCAGGAGTATGAACCAAACTGGGACTTTGATCCAATTCCTGTAATTGCAAGATTCTTTTGACCATGACATCTGAGGTCACCGTTCCCATCTAGTTTTGGCCCAAACCAGGCTTTGCTCTCTCTTTCTTTGGCAAAATCTTTGGGGTTTCCAACTTCTCCTTTCTTCTTCCAACCAGTCCTGTCACCTTCCTACCCTGAGCACTGAGCCCCTTGGGTTCTCAAGCCAATCTGAATAACATGCATGAAGCAGTAATGTTCTCATTGAAAAGATTTTGCTACTTAAAAAAACAAAAAGAAAATGAAAAAGAAAGATCTTTTTTCTAGGGTAGCCGCTTGTTTTGAATTTCCACAGCTGGGCCTGCCAAGAATTCATGGGTTTCCAAGATCCTCTGTCTGGGATGTCTTGTGAGCTCCAAGCCTGTATATTCTTATCCTTACATATGATCAAGAGCTAGACCTTGCACTGACTGCACATTTAGATATTGGCTGGCCTGAGTGGAGTTTGCGGATGAGCTGGGGCTGCCTGGCTACCTTTGGGGAAGGAGACTCCCAGGGAAAGCCAGTCTAGACCACTCTGAGCTGAGCATCATCATGAAAAAGAGAACATGGTGAGGAAAAGGCACCAGGGACCTGTTACGAAGCTCTTTTCATAATACTGATATCCAGGAGACACTTAATGCTCCGACCTATTGCTTAAAGCCTACATGGCAGACAACAGCCATGAATTCACGAGTGATTTTCCGTGAGCAACATATGACCTCAGATGACCTTGACTTTCCTTGTGCGATGTGGCCAACTCGCCACTGGGCACCCACTCCAGGAAGTGCCCAGCACATAAGTGGGTGGCTCTGTGGCTGCATAGACTGGAATAGCTCTAATGTATGAGAATTATTAGCAGATAATAGTATTTTAACTAGTAAAGTTTAAAAAAAAACAAATTTGCTTGTCTACACCTCCAACTGTCTGCCACATAAAACAGTAATATGGCATGATACTGGGGTGCCAAGGTTTTTATCCACACACTCCCTCCCTTCTCCCCTCACTGTCCTGATTCTCCTATCACTGTGGACAGGTCTAGGAAAGAAAGGACCCGTGAGAAGAAAAATCACCCATTTACAGTCCTTGAAACTGCAAGTGTGCGTGTGCAGACACTCACATGTATGTGCATGCACACAGATGATGATGATGGCTAACATTTTTAAAGCACGTTTTCCCATTCCAAGCCCCTGTGCTACGTGTATTTTACTGTTATCCTATCTTCTGATATAAAATCAGCCCTTCTACAATCAAGAGCTCTGTGTTACACGTTATGAAAACTGGCACTTAACCAACAGAGAATCTCCCTGATGGCTTTGCCTCCTGTGAACAACCCTCAGGACCCCTGTACAGAGCTTCTGGTCTTGCCCCCTTTGTTTTTCTTAACTGAGCCAGTGGCTCTTCTGTTTCTTAAAAGGACGTTTGACTTTTTTTGCAAATGTATATTTTACCTCATTTACTGTGACTCTCTTTATTTTTAAAACGTATGTTTGGATATCTTTTCAAATCCTTTTGAAGTTTGTTTACTTGAGTACAAGATTGTTCTTTTCCTAAGGATTCGAAAGCATTTTCTGGAAGGAATGGGTGGGGTAGGGGAGGTGGATAGCATATTTTTAAATTTGTATTTATGTCTGAAATCGTATTTGTGTATAAATACATATATTATGGGCTAAGTATTATGTACAAAGGTTTGTATTTATAGGTAAAAGAAAGCAGGTGAGATTTATATTTTGAAAGCTGAGTTGAGAAAGCCCCAGCTAAACGTGGGGGCCCTTACTTCTTTCTGCATGCAGATTTCAAGTAAATGTCAAAAGCCATACTTCAAATCCGGTCTTTTCTCCCCAAATATCTCATAACATTTTTTGAGAAATGTAATTATCCTGTTTACAACTGGGATTCAGAGAGATTAAAAAATTCACCCAATGTCTTACAGCCAGCCAAGGTTTACACCCAAATCTGACTCTTTTTCAAATTTTTTATGAAATGTTGATTTTACAAAAGGGTTTGTTGTTGTTGGTTTGGTTTGGTTTTGGCCAAGTGTGAATTGGGTACCAGTTTTGGGCTCAATCTCAGCTTAGCAGACTCGTTTGCTGTCCCGCCATCCCTGCTCTGGATCTCAGGAGGGGTGACCCTCGCAGGCTGCCTCCCGGCTCCCACATCACTTGGCGTCCAGCTGGGTTCAGTCAATGGGAGACCCTGGTGGGAAAAGGGAAGGCAGCAGAGGTAAAAGAAGCCAGCATATTCCTCCTTCCTTTTCTCTGCCTTAGGAAGTGCCCTGGGCAGGAGCCAATTCTCCTCCCTAGTTCCAGATCCACCTGGAAGACTGTTACAGTTCTAGCTTCTACCTTGGACTCTAGCCATCCACCTGCTCCCTTTGACCCTCCAACCTAGAGGCAGCAGTGGCTCTGCAATTTCTAATCTCTCATTGTCCCACTGTCCCCTGTTTGACTTCTCTCCCTTCTACCAACTGGGTAACCAATCCCCTTTATTAAATTCCTTCCTTTATAAGACTTAGACTGGAGTCTACGTTCCTGGCCTGAGCCTGACTAATACACAAATGGACACACATGAACCATGAGAAGAACACAAGAGCAGTCTCAATTAAAATGGTGTGGAGCAGTTCACATTTGTTAAACACATTTCTTATATTGCAAAGCAGGACTTTACCAAGTATGAATGCAGACAGGCAAAAAACACTACCTGTGTAAGCACATATGAAGAATCTTTCAGTGTATTTTAGTAAGCAGCATTTGCCAGTTCTGGAATGGTAAGAATGGTGACAGAGCCCCAGTGGACTCCACCCTCTCAGACCCTAAATCTGAACCCACGAGTCCATATCTGATTTTTGGCCTCTCATTCTTGCTTTACCTTCTCCTGTGTCGGGTCCTGGTTGGTCTGGCAAGTGGCCTGGACAAGGAGAAGTTTGAGGCAGATGTTTCACCCGGAACCACTGCAAAGACTTACAACCACGCTGTTCCCTGAGCACCACCGTGAAAATGGCTTCTTCCTTTCTCCGTAAGGAAGTCCCTGCAGACATCCGTGTCTGAATCTGGCATAAATGAGTCATAGTAGCAAATATTAACCAGAGTATTAAATTTAACTTGGTTTCTAAATTGCCCACATTGCTGTGAAAATCAATTCAGGCCATCCTTAGTGGACACATTAGAGTTTGGCAAATAGACAAAGATATAGATATGAATATGTATTATATTTATTTAATATAAGGAATTGTGGCTTACTTGATATGGAGACTGGTAAGTCCACAGCCTGCAAAGCTGATGCCGCAGCCCTAAAGGCGGAAGGCACGACAGAACCTGGAAGAGCCGACGTCGCAGGCTGCAGGCCCTCAGGCAGGAGAGTTTTCGCTCACCCGGCAGAGGGCCAGCCTTTTGCTCTAGTCGGGCCTTTCGCTGATGAGACGAGGCCCACCCATACGACGGGGGGCCTGCTTCACTCAGTCTACAGCTTCAATGCCAATCTCATTCAAAAATAGCCTCCCAGAGACACTCAGAACAATGTCTGACCAGATATCTGGACACCTTGTGGCCCAGTCGACACATACAGTTGACCGTCGCAGTGGGTACGAAGCTTTACAAACGTAAAGGTGAAAACCTCGAGGATCACTCCACTTACACGAGGTCCCTAGTGCAGTCGGATTCAGAGATGGAAAGTGGAATGGTTGGTGCCAGGGCTTGGGGGCGGGAGGACGGCAGTTAGTGTTTGCTGGGTACAGTGTTTCAATCTGCAACAATAGAAAAGTTCTGGAGGTGGATACGGGATGGCTGCGCAACAATGTGAATGTGCTTTTGCTGCTGAGCCATGCACATCAAAATGGTTAAAATGGTAAACTTTGTTATGTGCATTTTACCAAAATAAAATTATTTTTAAAAAGAAGAAACAAAAAATTAACAAAAAATATTATTTAGGCAATGAAGTTACTAGTTGTTTTAAAATGAATTAATAAATATTTTTATCATGTTTTAGTTAAAAAAAAAAAAAAGATTGTTTCAGTTATCTATTGTTTGCCTAACAAACCACACCAAACCTAGTAGCTAAAGCAACAACCATATTATTATTACTGTTCTGCTCTTCTCCCCCACGCCTGGCGCACCTCGGGCAGCCACGGCTGGCAGGCTGGGCCTTCTCTGCCTCTCCACGTGGTCTGTCCCCAGGGCCATTCGGACTTCTTTACATGGTGGTTGGATCCCAAGAGTAGGGGCTACGCAGGAGACGGCCAAAGTGGAACCTGCCAGCCGCTTAAATCTAGGCCTGGAACTGCCGTCATGTCACTCCTATCCCAGTCCAGCGGTGCCCAGCCCACCTTCAAGGGGCAGGACACTAACCCCCACCTCTCAGAGGGGAAAGGGAGAAGAATCAGTGGCTGCCTCAATCCGCAGTGAGGCACCTGAACAGTGACAGCAAGCGCGAAAGCAAGAGTGTTCCTCCGGAACTTTCGTTTCTAGTCCTCAGTGGGCGGTGGGATCAGTCTCCTGGCTGAGCAAATCCCTGCTTGAACAGGCTTTCAAAGCAGGCCACTGCGCGCAAATAGCCAGTTTGCACAGGTTCCGTTTCTAGAACATCTCTCCAGTGCTAAAACTCCGCAGACAAAAAGCATTTCAACTTTCTAGGATGACTCAGAAGCCTGCAGCACCCCGGGAAGGCCGGGTCGCCACCAGTCGCATCCATTATCATTTCGCTGGTCCTGCACCCGGGTGGTTGACACAATGCCAAAGAGATAAACCGCTTTTACTGTAAGTCTCACGCTGAAAAAAAAGGGATTTACTAAGCAAATTAAGAGGGTGAAGAAAGTTGCAGGGGGTGACATTTAGCCTACTCAAGGCACCAAACTTTTCAAGCACTTTAGAAGCCCGATTTACATACAATTACAGGAACGCTTCATTTTTCCACCCTGTCAGAGGAGGAGGTTTCATGTAAGTGAATTTTTCAGATAATGGCTGCGTTCGCCCTAGAGGCACCAAGTCGTTTTCCCCAGACTGGACAGAAATCTTTGCCAAATGCGTGGAAAGCACCCTTGAGCCTCCAAATGAGCACCCAGCAAAACGCTCCGCCCTTCCTTGGTGGGCCAAAGCGCAACGCTGAGGTCCCTAAAACAAGGGCTCTGGAGTCACCTGGGCACCAAGTGTCAGGCTGTCTTCACACATTCAAAACACACTGACTGCCCCCCTTCCTCCTGCGGGGTCAGGCGCAGAGAGCCGCAGGTACGGAGCTGGACGGCCCACTCCTGGGTAAGTGCCCATTTTATTTTCATCATTCTCTTCTGTTGAATTTCTTTTCACTTGGAGTCCCCGGCCCATGCCTCACCTCCCCTTTTGCTTCCCTCGTCCCACAGTGCTGCGTATTCTTTACGTACATGTCCCCGCAGAATGCAGCGCGTTCTCCGAGTCTGTGTTCTGTATTAACACAGATGGTCTGTGCTGTAGAAACCTGTGTTCCCTGCTGTTCCCCTAAACTCCGCGTCTTTCCGATGGACCTATCCTGCTTCCAAAGGCTGCTTTGTATTTCATATATATCCACAGCATTTCCCCCTTTGGATTGTTTTAGGAGTAGACAACCAGGCCACCTCCCGGCCACCTCCCACTCCCCATCTCAGAAGCTAGGCTGCAGGGAGCGTCCTTGCACGCCTAGAAGATTCCTCCGGGGTGGGCCCAGGGCTGAGACTGCAGGATCCCAGGGTCCACATATCCCAACCGCACACACGCAACCAGATCACTCTCCAGGTGGCTGTGTCGGTTCATGTGCCACCGCACGTCATGAGCAGTGCTCTACTGTGCCCACGCGATCACTGACACTTGGTGTCATTCAACTTTTGTGGCTTTGGGGTCAATCTGACGTGTATAAAATGGTACCTACTTGTTTTGCTTTCCATCCTGCTGCTGACGAGGAGGTCGAGCGTCTCTCCATAGGCCTGGCAGCCAACCTGCACCGCCCGGTCATTTTTTCTCCCAGTCTGTTCCTGCAGTTGGTTGTCTATGATGTTCTTTAGCAAACCACATGCTTAACATAGTGAACACGCTCCTTCCCATGTATTTTAGTCCTTTTCTCTCCCCTACTAATCTCACCACTTTTAACCCATCTCCATAACCTTTTTTCCCAATCTCCCACCTACACCCCACCACCCCGTCTACCACCACGACTCCCACACCTGGGTCTCATGCAGGCTTCCTTTCTGTCTGGTTGGCGAAAGAAATCTTCCTTTCCCCAGGCAGATTCCTACCAAGCCCGAAAGCCAAATTCCAGTCTTCCCTAAAACCCCCAAACAAACTTGTCTTTCACTCCACGTTTGCACAGCACGGTGCTTGCCTTTCTATTTATTTCACTTCGTTCCATCCTCTCCTCAATTTAGTCCTCGTGCTCCGTGTCTCCCCCTTGAAGATGAAAAGCCGCCTGGAGGGAGAGTTTGGGCTCTACCCACCTTTCCAGTCCTGGGGAAGCAGCGCAGGGGCAGGCAGGTAAGCAGTGATCAATAGGTGCCTATCAAACACATTGAATCAATTTTAAAAGAAGTTTATAGCCTGGAAAGTGAGCCGTCTCTGGCCAGCATTCATGCAGTCTGTAGAAACAGGCTGACACTAAAGACAACTTCGATGTCAAGCCTAGTGAGCATCTTTCCTTTTGAAACAAGCAATGCACAGAAGGAGTTCATTTGGCAAGGCGAGGCTCCAGACTGACCCGGTCTCTAGGGGACAGATCTCTTCGATGTGACTGGAGAAAATGGGGAACAGGGAAGACCCTAAATCTTTCCTCTGGGGGTAAAGACATCGGATCACTCCACTCTGCCGTGTGCACCTGTCTTGTTCTGGTAATCTCTCACTGTGTGACAAACTATCATGGAACGGCTCTTAAGAGCAACGACAACAACTTGTTATTCTGTCTCACACACTTGGGGTTTGGCTGGGCTCAGCTGGGAAGTTCTTACAGGAGAGGCGGGCAGGCGGGTGGGACATGGGGCAGTCAGGCTGCGCCAGGAGCCGGAATCATCTTGCAAGCCTGCCCGGGCTGCAGGACGGGGGAAACAGATCCCCTATCTTGATGCAGAATGGCGAAATCTGGAAAGAGCATGTGGAACCTGAAATATGACTAAGGCCAGTTTTGGAAAATACAACTTGCCCACACTTTTCGTCTTCCTAAGCCAAAACCCAGGCCGAAGGCATGACAACATTCATCTCCGAAAGCCTCAGTCACCTGCTCTGTACAGCGAGCAGGTTGGGTCAGGCCAGTGGTTTTCAAATCGATTTATAGTAACTTTTGTCTAACAAAATCTTTTTCTGAAACTTAACATATAAAGCAGGTGACAACGAAGCTGTTATCTTGAAATAAAGACAACATGAAGCCCCGTCCACCTGGCCTCCCTTTCTACCCTGACGTCCAAGCTCCCTTCCGGCCGGAGCCTTGGCTGCTCTGACATTTGCATACCCTCAAGTTAGGGCGCGGGTCCCCATCCTTGGATCCTCCCTGGCTCTCCAACTTCTGACTGAAGATCCAGAAACCCCCCTTCTTTCTCCACTCCCATCACCCAGCCTGGAGCTGATTGATCCAACCTAACAGAGACAGATTGGCAAAGTCACCCTCACAGTAGGTGTGTGGAGTAATGGTACCCAGGGGGGACAGGTGAGCAAAAAGGGAACAAACCCAGGCAATTTCCAGACATCTCCACTGTCCATTACTTTGTTCACTTAAATAAACAAATAACCCCCAGGCAATCAGCAGCCAGAGTCTCCGAGGCTGCAGGAATGATTTCCTTTCATTAGACACAAAGACTAATCGATGCCCCTTCATCGCCCAAACAGACCAGCAAATCCCCGGCTAGCTTCTACTTCTGGGCGTCTGCTGACACAGGGTGGAGGTGAAATGCCCATTTCTACCCTGCTAAAGGACTGAAAGGCAATAACAGAGGGGGGAGGCCAGTCCCACCAGACACGGCGGGGGCTTCCTGCTGGTAGAGGTAGCAGATGCAGAGATGCCGGCAAGAATGAAGTGTGAAAAGGCTGCTGGGAGTTGGATGCAGTCAGCAGCTTCCAGGCTGGCCGGTCAGCTGCCCGGGGCCAGCAGGTGGGTCATGAAGAAGCGCCAGATCCAGCCAGAAGCGGCCCCACCCCAACCTCCACAGTCCACTGACCCTTGCATGTGTCCAGGGACTACTGCTAGCGGGACTCTGGACACATCCCTCCTTTTCCCAGTGAATGGGTCACTTTGGGACAGGGGCCTCGCTGACCCCTGGGCCAGATAACCAGGGAGTGACCTATCCTAAGTGGCAGAAACCACTTTCTCTCACATTGACTGTGCTCCTAACTCCAACATCCTTCCTTATGGACCCATCCTGAAGTTAGTTTTGGATAAAATGTTAGGGGTCGCACATTCCCAGACCCACGCCAGCCCTGCCTTACGGGGCACGGCTGGCAGCTCTGGTCATGAGCTCAGTGAGCACCTCAGCAGCGGAGTCCGCGTCCACTCCCGCGATGTCCAAGGAAAACCCCACAGATAATGCTGTCTTGTCTGCCGCAGCAAGAGCATGTGGCGTTCTGGTTCAGGAAATCTCGAATTCCTGACTTCTTCTTCGTACTGTCACGATTTGGCCCTACTCCACATTTTATGTAATATTTTTCATGGAATCAAATCACTTTGTAGGAAAAAAGAGATCATATTTATTTTAAAGAAAATTTTTTATCACTGCCCAAACTGGAAATCCAATATCACATGCCATAAATAGACTATGACTATAAAAAAATAAGCACAATGGGAGTTCATGGTGGATTAAACACGGACGTTTTCCTCTGCTCATTCCTGAAACCCTCATAAAGTGACAGTTAAGGAATAAAAAAGAAAAAGGCATAAAGCCACAGGACCAAGGAGAACAGAAGAGGAGCAGAGAGCAAATGACAGATGTCAACAAAATTTGGGCCGGGGGTGGGGGTGGGGGGCTGGTGAGAAAATGGATTAAGATTAATTGACGTCTAGGCCTGGGGAAAGGGGGCAAAGAATGGAGCTGTTCTGAGCAACGGTTTGCTGGAAGCCTCCAGCCAGATAAGAGTTCAGGTAGGGCTGAAACCAGGGGCACTGATGGAAAGTCTGGATTAGAAACTGACAGAACCCTAGATTCCCTCTTCCCCATCCCCAGCCAGGGACCACTCCTTCCCATTCCCAGAAGAAGCTCAAATAATGAAATCAGTCCTTCCATCATCAAAATAATTTTATGACACATATTGTCAAAGTTGAAAATGCAACTAACAATAGTAATAAATGGTCAGTGTTTTCCTGCCTGGAGATCACACTGTCCTCAGGCAATGGGACATTGGCCTGCGTGCACGAAAATGGTAAGGCCCCGGGGACATCGGTGGTCTCCGCAGCTTCTGGCAAACTCAGATAAGAAAAAATATTACATCCATGGAATGGAGCATAAAATTATAAAAAGAAACACGCAAAGATCACGAAAACGATAAAAAAGATGGAGGAGAGTAGATCAAGGATAAGAAAACGAGTGGTTTGTTTCAGGTTTGCCATCTGAACAATGGATAATTTGGAGACACAGAAATAGAAGATACAGAGGAGAGGATTAAAGAAATAATACAAGAAAATTTCCCAGAAACTAAAGATTTTGCTGTTCTGCTTGAAAGAGCTAACCGAGTACCTAACAGAATGAATGAACGACCAGCCACACCAACGGATATCAGCGTGAAACTTCAGAACACCAGGAATAGAGAGAAAAGCCCAAAATATTCCAGAGAGAAAACAACAATCAAAATAAAACAACAAGAACATCAAAAATCCAGGTCTCACATGTAAGAAATTGGGAATGAATCAATGAACCTTTCCTCAGCAACTCTGAAAGCCAGTGGAATAGTGGCTTTAAAATTCGGAGAGAAAACTACCTCAACTCTTGAATTTTATACACAGCCAAACTATCAATTCAACATGATGGAATAGCAGGCACTTTTTTTAAAGGTATATAAGGTGTTGAAAGTTTGCTTCCAAGACACCCTTTCTCAGGAAGGTATCACAGGATGTGCTCCACCAAAACAAAGGAGTAAATCGAGAAAGAGGAAGACGTGAGACCCTGGAGCTGCGGCCCAGGACGGCAGCAGAGGGGAGTCCCTGATGGCAGCTGTGCAGTGGGCAGAGCTGGCCTCAAGATCAGATGGGGCCGTGGGGGGGACAGCTCCAGGAGAGATGTCTGCAGGAAAAACGGAACTGACAGGCTAACTGAGGGGGTGGCCAGGTGTAAAATTGGATTGAAGGCCTTTGTCCAGAGCTCATGGAGGGTGCGGGAAGAGGCACCCCCATAGTCAAAGAAAGCCAAGCAAAAGGAGTCAGGGGCCAGGAACAAATGACATTCGAGACACTGCTCAGCTAAGCTGGGAATAGTCTTTACCCACTCATCATCATGGAACACTACATCTGGATTTAATCATAAAAAATACAACAAAACTCTGGAGCTGGAGAGAGGGGAGATGTGAGGAAGATATGATCACTCATTTATATTTGGAAATTAATAGTATCTACCTGTTGCATGAAGAAGATCAAGAAGTAGTAGCATAGGCATACCATTTAAAAGTACAGATGGAAAAAAATCAGAAGAAACAACTCTAAGAACGGACGGTGGTTGCTGAGGGAATTGGCATTCTGGGTCGGGTGGGCCGAGCCCAGGGGCCTGCTGTTCAGCGTGGGCCTCGTACTGTCCAGCTTGGTATTAAACAATGGTTTTGTATTATTTTGATACAATATTTTAAATAGATTAAAAATAAATATGATTAACACAAAACAATCTGATTGAGTTTTCACTGGATATTGTTGCCTGTTCAAAGCTCTGAGCCTGAGGCCTGATTTCTACTTAAAAAGGAGATTAGAGGCCAGGCACGGTGGCTCAGACTTTTGATCCTAGCACCTTGGGAGGCCAAGGCAGGAGGATTGCTTGAAGCAGGAATTTAAGACCAGCCTGGGCACCATTAGCGAGGCCTCCATCTCTACAAAAAACAGAAAAATTAGCTGGGCGTGGTGGCTGCACCTGTAGTGCTAGTTACTGAGGAGGCTGAGGCAGGAGGATCGCTTGAGCCCAGGAGTTTGAGGTTGCAGTGAGCTATGATGATGCCACTGCACTCCAGCCTGGGCGACAGAGTGAGGAATCTTAGGGCACAAACTGTCCACTGCTGGTTTCCCTGAAGAAAGGAGGGGCCTTGGGGAGGTGCCTGCAATGAACAATCCAGCCACCTGGCTGAGCAGGGCCGCCTGGGAAAAGCAGTCAGCCTCAGGAGGACGGGATCGGCAGTCACGTTGCCGTGGACAGCCAGGTGTGGCCGGCTTCTCAGGGCCCGGCCGAGTGTGGGGGATGTGGTTTGGGACCTTAAAGACAGTGAATAAGGAATCATTGACCAACGTTAATGAATGCCACCTCTGTATTTATCTATACTCTCGGTACCCTGGTCTGCGTTTGGGGATAAAGTGAGTACCAAACAGCGTTCCTATCAGGGAAAGCTAATTACAGCCTGATAATGATTAGACCTCCAAACTTGAGGACCTGAACCTTGGTGCCTTTGTCTTCGTTCAGCGAGTCAGAAACCGCGGGAGAGGCCCAGCCTCCGGCAGAGCTGAGCAGGAGCTGTGCGATGCAGGCCAGTCCCCACCCCGCCTGGGCTGCAAACGATGTTTTGGGCACTTTTTTTCCCCATTTTGAGTTTCCAGAGTCCTGGGGATTTAAGGCATTTTATCTCATTGTGTGTAGACGCACAGTTTCAAATCTACTGAAAGGCTTTGAATGATACACAGTGGAAGCAACGGCCACATTGGCCGCTTGCACTCAACATGTTCTAGGATGTTTCCCCTCAATTTACCTGGCCCAGCCCCATGGGAGCAGCGGGGACACCAGGCCACCAGGGTGCTCTCGAGCCAGCCCATGTGGGGTCTGCGTCCCCATCCGCCCGGCCGCCAGCCCCACGTGCACGCACCTGCTGTTGCAGTCCCCTCCGTCCTGGAGGGAGAGTGTTGAATGCTCTTCTTGTCTCCCACATAGAAAGTTTGTTTTCTGATGAAAACAGAACGGAACCAGGTTATTTATCCCCAGAAACCATCTGTGAGCAAAAACCTTGAACCCGCATGTGTCGGGGCGAGCCCGCTCCTCCAGTGCTCCCCAGAGCAGGCCCGAGCCTGGGGCCAGCCTCCCTTTCGCTTTCCCATATTCCAGGCACCTGGATAAAGGCACGATCCGGGGGATTTGGAGACCAACTCAAAATTCGGTAAGGCCGAGGCCTTCTCGGAAAGAGCCACCGAGCCCGCTTCACAGCCGCCACCTGGGCTGGCCGATGGCTTTTCTCAAGAAGCAGCAAGCCAGGCGCTCGGCCGGGCGCAGCGCCTGACACTGCCATCGGGCTCCAGCCTCAGGGGCTGACGGGAGATGTTCTCGAAGTGCAAGCCACTCACAAAGGTCTGGGCGTGGGGCCGTCTGTGGCGGCTCTCTGATGCCATCAGCCAGTGCCTTGGCAAAGCAAAAACACAACAGCAAACCCCAAAGCAAGCAAACCAAAGAAAAACCCTCACTTTATTTAATTTTTTAAATCCTCGATTTGAAAACAAAGCCAGGTTTGGTTTCAAAGCTGGTCCGGGACTGAAGCAGAGCTCTGGGCAGCGTCCTGCCCGCCTCCCATGAAAGGCCCAGCAGGGCGGCGGCTCTCCTCCCACCCGCCCTCCGCCTCCTCCCACCCTCCCTTCCCCGCACGCCGCCACTCCCTCGCTCCAGAAACAAGACAGGAGATTTGTTACCGCTGATGTGTGGCCCGTCCTTATGAAGGGGGCTTTTCATTAACAAAGTAGCGGGTGGTGTCATCTTCCCTGAGTCGGAATCATTCACTATTAGCACAATGTGTTATTATTGTATTTTTAATTGAAATGTAAATTCTGGGAACACTCTGACCCAATTTACTCCCAGGGAAAAAAGGGCAAAATTCTCATTTTCAAGGCTCTAGAAATGCAAGTTAGTGTTATTAATGATTAAGCTCTTTTTCCTTCCCCCCTGCTGCGGGGCGGGGGCCGGAATGGGGACCTTCTTATCCAGGCACAATAGTAATGCTACCCCATCCTCAGAGCACATTTGATCTCGAGGTAGATGACTGGACGGGAAGCTCACATATTACCCCGCCGTTCCTGGGGTTCACACCTGGGCCGGGAAATGGCCAGAGTGTATAGATGCGGTTTCAGGTTTTAAATGACTACGATGATTGACGCGTGATTAAACGATTGATTTGGAGAGGAGATTATTGTCCCGTCTGTTTCAAAGAAACTCTCTTTGTAAAAACAGAACCGAATGGAGACAGGGTGATTCAGGGGTTGATTCAGACTTTGCCCACAAACATTGCACACTCACGCCCCTTTGGCTGATGTTTCCAGAACTTACACTAGAATTCAAAGGGCAGTGGGTATTTGCAGCACTGACCGTCCGTGCACAAAGAGAAGAGAGTGCTCCCTCCACCTCCACCGACAAATATTTACTGAGCACCTACTATGCTCCAGGCACTAGGAGAGGGATAAATAAGCAAAGATAAATAAGCAAAGAATATTTTATAAGCGCCTCTATCTTTCTACATGATGCAAAAATATAAAAAGTTCATCTGGCCCAGAGATCTACTATGTCTCTCACCTGTGCCATTAATTCCACGTATCTACTATGTGACGCAGAAATGAATAGTCACAGCCTCTGCCCAGAGTTGGTGCAAAAGACAGATGATAAGTACAGCCCAGTGAGAGAGTGTCGTAGACCAGGGCTCTCCACCAGGGCTAGCTTTGCTCTCCTGTCCCACATGGAGCATTTGACAATGTCTGGAGATGTTTCTGGTTGTCACAACTGGGGAGACTTGCTGCTGGCACCCAGTGCGTAGAGGCCAGGGATGCTGCTGAACCTTTCTTACAAGGGACAGAACAGTCTCGAACAACAAAGAATGATGCGCCCTAAATGTTAATAGTGCTGAGGTGGAGAAACTCTGTTACAGACAGAGAATTGTCTACAGAATTCATTATGGAAGCAAAAGTCAGGGAAAAGGGGGGCCCACAGCCAATGATCTGGACAGACTTTGCAGAAGAGGGGGGCTTGGAGCACAGCACAGTAATGTCACACCCTCCATGGAACCCACAGTGTCATTCCTGGTGTCACTGCTAAATAAAACCAGAAGAATGAGATCTCTAGAAGCCACCAACCTTCTCTCACTTGTCAATTTAGATATGCAAAGTCCCGTGATAGGAATCCCCTAATCTAATCCATCATTTTATAGACTTAAGGCCTTGATAAGGGAGCAGACTATAAGATTACCTAGCAACCTTTCGGTTAATGAAGGAGGTTAAAGTTCCTGGTTAGAAAGGGGCAGACCCCTCCCTTTCCCCAAAGGTGAGGGGACAGAGCTGTCCCATGCTACCCAACGGGGTCACAGTCATAGGGCAGAAGGGACCAACTCCAGCATCCTCTCAATCCAGACTTGCCTCTCAGCTGAAGCACAAGCGGTGGAAGAAGAGAGCCTGTTCGCTCACGCTTTCCCCGTCACTCTTAAGTTATTTGTGGCTTCCTATGAGCACAATGAAAATAAATGCCAGCTAAGAGAGAAATGGCTGGTGAACCCCAGTAGCAGACGGGGACTCTGGGACTTCAAGGCTTCAGGCAGGCGCCATGCTCAGCCCAGCAAAAGCGAGCAGACCGTCCTGCCTGCTGTTGGACCATCCCCAGGTCAAATCTTTGGGGGTGTGTAGTTTTCTTTTTAAAGAAACTTGGCATTTCATTCCGTCTACTTATAGTCCACAGGCCAAGTGCTCAGGCAGGAACGTGAGGGGCAGGAGGAGAGAGAATCTCGCATGGGGCCGGGGGTGGGCCATAAAAAGAGTCAGCTCGCCCATGGTTTCCACCTTCTCAGCGCCTGCACCTCTGAGTGTCCACGGAGCAGGGCTCAGGGCTCAGGTACCGACGCGTCTGCCCGGTGTGGGGGTGCCATCGGCCAGCCGCCCTGTGACAGGCTGTTCCTGTGAGCTCAGAGCAGACATCGCAGGGCCCCGTCCGCAGCCTGCATTCCCGAGCAGATGCCCCTCCATGTGGGTTAGGAGCAAGGTCCCCACTTCCGCAGATACAGAGAACTTTCTCCGTGGGGGCAGAATCCACAACTCAGCAAGCCGGAGGCAGCAGATCCCACCCTGCCGGGAAGGGGCTGGGAGGGGAAAGCAGGCGTGCTGCCAGCCCAGGTCACCATCTGGCTGCGCGAGGTGCACTCTCGACAAATCCCTGGTGGGCAGCAATGACAAGATGACCCCCGGAGAAGTCACGCTGCAAGAGTGGGGGCAGAGACAGCGAGCGCCAGCCCTGGGCCGAGGAGTGTTCAGAGAGGACTCGCTGTTCCTTCGGAAGTCTCTAGAAAGGACAGGCAGGATCCTCTGGGCCCTGCCCTAAGGGACAGGGATGTTCTCTGGGAGACGGAAAAGCCAGGGGGAGCTTTCAGTCCTTTGGGGAGAGGAGGTTCTTTCTGGGCGTGCAGACCGCTGCCACGCACAGCCAGGCAGCGTCACCGACGGCCCTCCGCCGTGCTACCAACACCTCCCCGTCCGAATTCTCCATGTCACCCCCAAGCCTACGGCCCTATCCAAATAACTGTCCCAGAGAGTGACATCATGTCTGCCCTGCCACAAACCAGAAACGGGGACATCACCTTAGACTCCTCCGCCTCCCTCATCCGCTCCTCGCTGACCGCCACCCAACCTCCCTAGCACCTCTGCTCCTTCCGTACCCGTGAGAGCCCCACCGCGTGCCCAGGCCTTAGCTCGGGCTCCTGGCTTTCTCGCCCGTTTGCCTTATTGGTGTTCTAATTTGTCTCCCCACTCCCAGCCTGGATTTCCTCCAATAAATCCCTCCCAGAAGGAGCTTTCTAAAAGGCAAAGCAGAACATAAAAGCGGCCGGTGTTTATTTAGCATTTACTATGTGCCTGGCTCTGGCACTGAGTCATCTCCTCCAACTCCTTTGGTTCCTTGCAGCTGCCCTCTGAGATGGTTATTACTCGACGGGTGAGGACTTGGCAGTTTAGGGAGGAGAAACACACATAAGGTGACACAGCTCTTAGTGAGAGGTGAGTCCTGAACCTCTACGATCGAGGCTACACTCGCAGCTTTAAGCTCTATGCTTCCTCAGCTATAGCTGCATGCTTAAAATTCCTTCCTGGAGCCCCAGTGCCTTCTGGGAGGAAGTCCAGCCTGCCCAACCTGCCGGACTCATTTCCTAGTACTCCTCACCCCCTCCATCTTCACCCAACCTTCCATCATGTCTCACTGCCATGCACTCATCTAAACCAGTGAAAGTAACCAAGCATGCTTCCAAAGAAACGGGTTATCCTTGAGGCAAGCCCTCCTCCAACTTCCTATTGCCGCTTGCTCTTCAATGTTTAGTGCAAACACTTGTTCCCCTAGGGAGCTCTCCCCACTGGCCCAGGTTGAATGTGCTGCCTTGGTGCCACCACGGCACCCCAGGTCTCAGGAATTACACTCTACTGTAGTCGTCTTCATGCATTTGCCTAAACTAGACTGTGAGTTTCCTGGGAGCAGGAGCCATGTCTTTCTTTTCTTTTTCCTAGCACAGTGTTAGCATAGGGTAGGTGCTTGGTAAATAGTTGTTGGGCAAATATATGAAACAGGTGTTTAAAACATTGAGCATTAGAATGTGTGTTACATTGAAGGCCCACATGCTCAGCTGCAGAGAGAGAGAAAAAAGCAAAAAGGAGGTGGTAGAGTGGGGTGGAGGGAGAAGGTAGAAATGTATGTGGTGGAATAAGTGGACTGAATGTGTCTGCCTAAAATTCGTATGTTGTGATCCTACACCCCCAGATGACGGTAAGAGGAGGTGGGACCTTTGGGGGGTGATTAGGTCACAAGAATGAAATCCTTACGAATGGAGTTAGTGCCCTTATACAGGAGACCCAGAGAGCTTCCTTCTGGCACGCGAGGACAAAGAGAAGGCTTCATCTGTGCAGGAATTGGGTCCTCGCAGGACACTGAACCTACTGGCGCCTTGACCTTGGACTCCCCGACTTCCAGAACTGCGAGAAATCAGTTTCTGTTGTTAGGCCACCAGCCCACGGTGCTTGGTTATGGTAGTCTAAACAGACTGAAGCAGAATTCCTCCAATTTCACTATAGCATTGGGGCATTCGCCTGGAATCAGGACTTAGGACTGTATATTCCAAAGGCTGCAAAGAAACAGTGAAGCCCCAGGGACACAGGAGACTGGAACTGCCATAATTCTCATTTTATCCGGGGTGTGTGGCCATCGCACACAGCACTCAGCGGGGGACGTGAGTTTTGTTGTAGTCGTGCCGTGGGGGTCGCTCAGAATGTGCAGTCTTTTGCTATCCCAGCTCTGCCATGGATTAGCTCTGTGACCTCAGGAGTGCTCCTAAACCTCTCTGTACCTCAGCTTCCTCATCACCAAATAGAGATAATACAACTCTCAGCCTTTTGCATTTCTGTGAGTGTAAAATCAAATAAAACATTGCCAACAAAGATTC